TGCCGGCATCGAAGAGCTCGATGTGGGCGTAGCGCAGCTTGTGCCCGTTGGTCAGGTAGCGAGAGACGTTGTCGAGGTCGCCGCCTAGACGTTGTGAGAAGGTGACGTGCGCGGCGTCAGTTAGACCGGTGTTGCGGAGGACGCAGACGCCGTACTTGTTTGGTTAGCTAACCGATTTGGTGTGTATGGAGATGGGATATAGACGTATGGATATGCGATTGCCGATAGAGGATGGGTGCTAATCTGAGAGACATATCAAGTGCGTGGTTATTTATACCTTAGTCATGGCTGCGCGGATCTCATCCAGCTGTGAGTCGGTTATGTTTTCAAAGTCTGAGATGCCCGAGATCTCGGCCCCAAATGTTGGGTGCAGTTCCTTGATGGTGATGGTCTTGAATGCCGGGGAAGAAGCCATTGTGTTGGATTGCTTTGTCATTTCTGTCACGTTTGCTCGGTTCAGAAATTAGGACACCGAAGTTAACAGTTGTTCAGTGAATGATTTGACAGCCATCTGTGTGTGGTTGATGGCATATGAACTACTGTTTATATACGAATATTTTACCGGAGGTAGGATTCTCTCTGCATATTCTCAACTACCGGCACCGTGTAACCGGCCTCACAATGCGTGGGGGATTCAGGACGGACGGACGGGATATCCGGTATGTTCGGGGTGCGGGGGATTTGCAAAGAGAAAAGGAGGCGTGAGGAGTGGAGCGTTGCATCCCATCTGTCTCACTGCTTGAAGCTGCTACGTTCTCTATTGTTTGATGATTCTGATTCGTAGCTGTGATAATCACCGCTGATCTGGTGGAATCTGATTCCCCATCTGACAATTATTTTTTGTTTCAAGTTCTGTTGAAAGCAGGGCGTCCTCCCCGTTCGAATTTGTGTTGACCATGTTCTGTCGAATATGTCACTCATCCGGGTTGTGAGTGGCCAGTTCAGATTAGGGGTTTAGTTTCGATGTAAGCAGGGAGTGTGTATCATTTCAGGATATAGTCTGCTTACTATCTATCTAGGTCGATGGGCAGGAAATGTATGTTCCCCCTTTTCCATGTCATTGATGCGCTCGACAAGCCCTGAGCAAAGCACAAAAAGCAGAGCAAAGCAAAGCATGACAACTCATGTAACCCCGATACAGGAAGATAGCTTCCTAATTGATGACGTCGACTAGGTAATTATAGCTGAGTAGTTTAGTTGTCAACCCTCGGTAAAAAAAGATTGGGCAAAAATGATGAAGGAAAAGGTCTAGCAGAACCGGAGGTATCCATCGCCGCTCAACCGTGAGGCCAACCCGCTTTCCCATGCATCCAGCAACCAAGCCATATTATTTTCCTCCTGTCCGTCCGGTTCGTATCCCACTGTAAACTCATCTCTGTCCAGGCCAGGGAATAAAAGAGAAAAGAATATAAATCGCCGCCATGAGAACCTAAGAAATTGCTCCCCTGACATAAAACCAATGTCATCGCACCAGACAACATTCATCATGTCGGTGATGATCATGTCTCCCGACCTCACCATCCTTGAACTCCTTTTCCGTACCCCAGTGTGCTGCATTCCATCTGCCAGAGCCAAGTATCCTCACCATCATATCCTCCTCCATCCAGAACCAGCTCTCATAGTGTGCAGAAGAACCATGCCCAGTCAGCACACTGACTGTGTGTGCAGAGACTTCAGTCCGTGGACTCAGGCTTGATAATTTTGTCCTCATACGGCCCCTGCTGCAGACCAGGAATACGCTCATGGAACTCCTGGCGCGGCTTGATGCGCATGATGGGAACATTACGTCCCATGATCCACTGCCAGTCGGACAGCATCTTGATCATCTCCCAGCCGACCTCTCCGCTCTGCCGGAGGATCTTCTCCCAGTCGGGGGGCAGCGGCCGGCGGTCGAGGCGCTTCGTACCAAAAAGGTGAAAGAGCGAGTGCGCGATCAGGAGGCGGCGCATGTGCGAGTCGGCCGGCGTGTTCTCGAACGCGTACAGGACGTCTTCCAAGTCAGGGCAGCGGACCTCGTTGGGGTCATCGGCCTTTTCCTTGGCGTCGTCGAACTTGAAGTAGGCGTAGAGCGCGTCGATGGCGGCGTTTTTGACGCCCGTGATGCCGATCTTGTCGCCCAGGACGTAGAGACCGATGCTATTTTGGGCAGAAAAGTGTTAGCAACTCTTGTCCAGTGTGATAATCTCGGATATGTGAACAGACAGTACTCACTAGTCACGAACGGTAATCTCCTTGCCGTCAGGCGGGCTAAAGCGAAAGATACGGGTGCCGCCTACGTTGGCAAAGGCGGTGCCGTACAACCAACGGACGAGCAAGGCAAACAGTTTGGGGTCCTCGTGCGGCATGTCAACTTCATCCATCGGCTCTTCGTCGTCGGTACCGTTGAAGATGTCGTCAAAGTACTTTGACTTGCTGCAGAGCAGCTTCTCATGGACAGCCCATCGCTTCATCTGCGGACCGACCACCACGGTAACAATCCGGTCCGTAAGCCAGCTAAGTGGGATGTTTGTCAGTACTTCTGTCTTTGCGTGTGCTCCGCGAGTCAGGGGTCAAAGCTGAACATGATGTCTACCTACCGGTCCTCAACATCATCGTTACCGCCACCTGCGGGTAGAAACTCGCTAGAATCCGCAGTTGACGGAGCTGGCGTGCGCGAAGAGCGGCGGGCAGAAGGCGGCACAAACGGACGGGAGGAGGAAGGCGTCCTATCGGCGTAATGGATCCGCTCCGGAGGGGGAGCACGATCGAGCTGTCCACGGTCGGGATGAGCACGCTCGGGAGGCACACTGTCAAGATGAACAGGCTCCGGATGAGCACGCTCAGGAGGAGCGCGTGCGGGATTACCACGATCGAGGTGAGGACGCTCGGGGGGGGGCATGCTGTCGAGATGGACATGCACAGGAGGAGCACGCTCAGGAGCAGGGCGGGCGAGATGACCACGACCTGGAGGAGGGCGGTCGGCGGCGGGGGCACGCTCAGTCATGTTGCTTTGTTCAGTGGTGTCTGATATTTGTGGTGCCGAAAAGCCTTTGTAGATAGCAAAAAGGATTGTTGTGCTTTGTGCGTGTGTGGTGGATGGAGAATGGCGGAGAAAGTCTTGAAGAGGGCCGTAGATGGGATGTTGAGTCAAAGTGTCGCGACGTGGTATATTAAGACAAGCGTACAAATGTTTGCACTTATCTGCTTGTGAATTTCTTGGAAGGAAACCCTCAGGTCCGTGCTTGTCACTCTGGTCGTGTGAGATGATGCGGGACAAATCGTTCCAGTGTGGAAGTTATGTGTTCGGGGACTGGAAGTGCGCTGGCGGGTGGAGGAAGAAGGGGCACTCTCGTCGCAGTTAACCTTTAGAAGTGGTGTGCCCGCTTAACAACGGCGGGTTGTCGAAGCTGTCACTTTTCAGACGGAAATATATGTCTCGTCCGTCTGGTGTAAGGCGTATCTGAAGACTCCTATACCGCTCTGCTTATCTCCCTGCCACCTGACTCTGGCATCAGAACGGCTTCGACATGCTTTCATCCACGCATATAACGTATAGAACTGAACTGTCATCCCAAGTTGTTCAGTCTGATCCCAAATGAAAGACCGTATCTCTTGTTTACTCTTCCGGATGGCAAGGTCCTCGAGCAAACTCAAGTACGTAGGCAAGGTACCTATCTAACCGAGAGAAGATCTAACGTGGTTCATTCTGCTCGTTGGCAGCTCTTTCTTAAGGGTTAATATCCTGAACAACGCCACTCACTTTTCAATGTAAGTACTAGCTGGACGGATGTGAAAACCCGTCTGGCTTAACAGTTGTTATAACTTTACCTGGATACCGGACAACTCGACTGAACAAGAGCGATCCAGTCTTAGGAGGAACCATGTAGTTCACTAATTACTTTAATACGGAATGAACTGGCTAAGAAGGGCAGCCCAGGTTTGCAGTCATGACCTTTGTTCATTGCAATCTTGAAGTTGGACCCAGTGTTGGAAACAAAATGCAAAGACATGTAAATGATGAGGAAAGAGGCTTCTCGACATTGAAAATTATGTATACGCGAGCCACTATGCTAAGCAGAAGTTATGGGAGGTTAAAAGAAAAGTAGATGGAATCGCAAAGCTCGGAGTCGAGGCTGTGCATTCAAAAAGGGGCAACCTTACAAAGTGAACACAACCATGTACGGCCCGGACACGGTACTTTCTCAACATCTAAAGCGCTACCTATCCAACAGCTGTAGAGACAAGCTTCCCAAAGGGAATGCTGATTTATGTTAGGAGCAATCACCAGAACATAACAACCCGACCTTTCCATTTCACGTCCCACCATCTACCACCCACCACCTCATTCATAACTTCCTCAGCCCTGCAATAAGATCACATACGGCCATAGATAGTGGAAAGCTCGGGATCCCGTCCGCTCTCCCATAGATAAGCCACTAATCGCCATACTAGTAGTTGGGTCGGTGACGACCAGCGAATCCCTGGTGCTGTATGTTTTTTTTCACTCTCCTAACTCTACACACTTCCTCACTCGTTTGCGGAGTATTTTGTAGTTCTTTCTTTTTGTATGTCAGTCCAAGTGAGTGCAGCTTGAATCCGCCGACCATGATATAACCAAAGCCTACATGAACCATATACTTGGATGCATGTTATAATGGCAAGCCAGCATGCCGGCAAGAGACAGACTCAACAGGATTCCTCTTCCGCTCGACCGACCCGTTAGAGGGTGCTTTGACAAAGAAAAGACGGCCAACAAAAAAGCTGAGATCCGTCCGACTGCGTACAAGAAGCTCGTACTCAAAACCCAACCCCAACAAAGTCCAAGACCCGGAGCTTAAGGCAAAGAAAGCAAGACGAGTTTCATAAGGTTCAACAGGCGTATGAGCTAGCTGCTTATATATCTTCGCCCTGATAATATAAGGTAGGGAGGTATCCACCACTGACCTCGGTCAACAAATATACGTTCCCACTCTTGCATATAAACAAGTGGAAATACCCAGAAACACAACAGAACAGCAACAGTCATTCTGGCGGAGTGGTTAACGCGCTGCCCTGCTAATAATAATAATCACAAAGTTAGCCTGCTAGGCAGTTCCTTCGGGAGCATAGGTTCGAATCCTATGGGTGACGTGAGAAACATCTGGAACCTACCTATATGAATGGAACTCAACTTTTCTTTTTCGTTCTTGTTCTCAATATTTTCCTTGTCTGACAGACCCAGCTGCCTACCTACCTACCATCGTAGGTGTAAACACACTGAAGTCGCACACGACTCGCATGTACTACGAACATGCATATATCTAGGGTTTCCCCAGGAAGGAGAGACAACAACAACAAGAAAACACCGAGACATGGGGTCACAAACAGACAGATTCCTGGTACACAGACACACTCACCGTCCACCATGGTGTCAAGTAAGTAGGACAGGCGGCAAAGGTCAAAGCTTTAGAAGAGACAAAGGACACACAATACACTGGAAGCCACTCATGTCCTCTCACGCCACTTTCGACGTCATGCAACAAGGAACAGACAACGCCGAATAACCATCACCACTCGCCACGTCGACGGTATATAAGCAGACACAAGTCCAAACACATATCACCCAGATCAATCAAATCACTCAATGCATCACATCACAATCAAGAGATTCGAGTAGAATTAACGTCGGAATGGCGCGGCTTGGTATGAGCCGTTTCGCCAATCCCTCAAATTCGCATTTGATACAACGACAAAATAAAGTAACAGAGAAAAAACTCATTGCCGAAATAATAAAATAGTAATAGTAGAGTTTAAAAAAAAGCACAACACGACCCAACTCCGCCTTTGAAAGACCCGATTTCCGGTCCGGATATCCCCAGCTTTGACGCACGCGTTCCAACACTACACTCCAGAGCCCATCCCGCCAAAAGATAGCCAGCCAGCTCCTCATTCCATGTACGTACATAAACTTAGACCCTACACCCCCCTCCCAATAAAACTCCCTAGGTTGCAAGAAGAAAGAGTAAAAATGGGAAGAGGTATGTTCCCCGTCCCAATCCCAACAGCGCTCTCCCGCTCCCAAGACATATGTATGCGAGAACAACGCAGAAAAAAAGAACTCCCGAACATCGAACTCGTTCTATATGTCGAAAATCTTACTTCCCGTCTCTTTTTTCCCCTTCCCCGCTCGGTGGAATGATGAACTCGTGAGACCCATTGTTGACCGTTAGATGACTTTTTATCGTGTGAATTTGTTAGAGTGTGGGAAGTCGCCGCTTCGTGAAAATGGAAAAACACCAAAACAACACCGTCCGCCACTCCTGTCAGTGTATGGTATCGAAAATGTAAAAGAAAAACGAGCCAAAGCCAAAGAACTCCCCGTCGTGAGACACCGATGCAAGTTTGCGATTAAGCGAGACCGATGAACATGTATGCTGCAAAACCGCCAGTTGGAATCATGTAAACAAAACGCCCCGTTCGTTGATATCAAAGAAAACAGCCCCCATCTTGACAGAAGGTCGAAACACCGGCACCCAGGCTTTTTTGTTGGTATATTCGAATAAACAACAACGGAAGAAGTATCGAAAAGTCTTTCATCGCGCCATCCGAAAATGTCAAATTTCCGCTTGAAAAACAAAGTGAGCTTATGTCGAAGTATTTTTGTACAGGTTGGGTATGTGCAGTCGTCGAGAAGGTCGAGGATCCAGTCGACGACGGGTATATCGGATTGTCGCCCTTGCCTGCCGGAAAAGAAGAATGAAGAAGTCGACGCCTGCTACTTTTCCGTGTCGGTGTCCGCCAAGATGAACAGCTGCATAGATGGAATGAACGAGCAGTAATCTTTACAGTCCAAAGAACTTGCAGCGATGACGACGGCTAGTGCTTGGCTCCGTCTCGTCTGCCGTCACAGAAGCGAGACATCAGCCAGTTACCACCGTCGCCCCATGTTCTGCTGCATCCGGGCGGGGGATACCGATGGCGGCGGGCTGGACATAGTAATGCCAGTAGCAGGGTTGATGATCGGGATGGCATTACGGGCGCGGGTGGCAGCGGGTTGGTGAAGTTTCAGGGACGACTGCTGATGCTGGTATGTCGGAGGAACAAAGGCCGGCGATGTCGAGTTGAGAGAGAAGGATGATGCGACGGAGGTGGGTTGTTGCGTCGGAGAGCTTTGCGGCGAGTTGCTTGCCAGAGATGATCGCTCAGAGGATGAGCTGTGTATGGAAACACGCTTTACCGAGGAATCATTGTTAGCCCAATAGGTCCTTAGCAATGTGCGCACCAGCCTTCCGTGGAGTAGTGCAAAGGCAGCTCGACGGAAAGGTCTGGGTTCGCTCATTCAAGAACACTCACATCACTCTCGGTCAGCAAATTCGGGATGAAGTTGAAGTCGTCTTCAAGGTCAAATGACCGTATCGACTCGAACTCCATGCGATAGTTGTTGACTGGGTAAGGTAGCGACTCGTTCAGATCCTTCATGCTCCTGACATTCCGAAAGTGCTGGTTCGGGTTCGGGGTTTGTTGTTTCTGCACCGACAGCCTTGACGGCCCTCTCCGATTTCGCCCACCATGGTGGCTGTGGGAGGCAGCGGTCGGTGCCGCTGGTGTTGGATGTTGCTGGTGGGTGTTGAAGTAGTACGAAGACATTATGATTGTAAACAACAATGCGACACAGTCTAACTGAGGAGGGCGAATTATTCTTCTGGTGGACGTCAAAATCCAGAAAGGCGATGGGTTAGGTGGATAGTTTTGGGTTTATGTGAGCGAAAGTGGGCGTTGCGGTATTAAACCCAGGTTTTCGAAACAATAACAAGACCTAACCGGGGCTTTTGGCGTAAATCGGCAAAGTCAATGCTGCTGGAGCAAGGCGGAAGGAAAGCTTAAGATTTCGTCGAAGTGGAATGGAATATCGTTTGGTCGTTGGATGGCGATGTGAAGGTTTTGGGCGAGGTTGGTTGTTGAAGGTAAAGGTCAGGTAATTGAAAGAGACGGGAGGAAGAGGGAGGGACAAGAGACAAGTCAGGATGGCAATCGGAGACGGAACAGGCGAAGAAGGGTTGAAGGGTGGGACAGCGACGAGATGGAGGGCGGATGGGGGGGCGCTACCGGGGTCTCATGTGCGAGAGAGGCAGGACTCCCAGTCTCCAGAGTCCACGCAGACTGGAGACTCAACAAGACTGGCCACTGCCAGAGTACGGATGCACTGGCCACTCAGGACGGCGCAGGACGGGTGGCAAGACCTCGCAAGATGAGCGTCAAGAGTGGAGCCCGCATGGCGGCATGTCGCATGCCATTGGGTGCGCAATATGGATCTAGACAAGAACGGACTAGTCGGGCTTTGCTGTTGTGTGCAATTTTGGCTGGCGTTGCCTGCCCTTCCCTGCCCTTTCCCTGCCTGCGCACCCAGTGCCGGAAACGGACTCGAGACAGTGTGGCTCCTCTCGACTCCACACCTCTCGCAGCCCTCCGTCCTCACTCGTTGACCGCCAACCCAGTGTGAAACACAACTCTACGCACTTTGCACAGCTGACGGCGCCCGCCCGAGCCCTCGCGTGCCTCGCCCTTCTTTCTCCTGTCGTCTGCCCACGCCCACATTCCATACCCACCACATCCGACCGAGCTGTCCTCCCCAAAAATCGTCTCCCGACACACAGTCTGCCATCTCGACAGTGCACACAGTATATTTTCTTTCACTCCATCCCAACATCTATCACCACCGTTCTTTTTTGTGGAGAATCTTAATTGAACACCGTCTTTTTTCCAGCAATTTGCTTCGTTTCCCTCTCGGCTGACCTTAGGGCTAGGCAGAGTGGAGGATGGCGGACATCAAGGTTCGAGCAGGCAGAAAAAGGAGAACGACAGCACGCCGGCAATGCCGGTTTCTTTTCTTCCGGTCCACGGAGGTAAGTCGGTCTCTCCATTCATCTTTTGCCATCGTCTTGTCTACTGTGTGTCCGTCTGCCGGCTGGCTCGTGACGGCCAATACCAATAGTGGTGGTCCAGGTCACGAGAGCGCCGCAGTGAAACCGTCGTGCGCTGCCTTTTGGGTTTGGATCTGCCAGTCAAGCGGGGGTGGGAAGAGAGGGCCGCTCCTCCTGTGAGTGATGACCACAGGTCAAGGCCCAGCTGGCGGTAGCAGCCAGTGGCAGCCAAGTCTCTGCCTGGCTCGATGAAACTGGCGCTGGGTGCAACGGACCTGGACCATGTCCGTTATTACCCATCTGCTGCAGGCGGTTGGGGAATTGCATAATTGAGTGCAGGGCAGCGGCCTGAGTGGTCAGGCCATTGGAAGATCAGTCCGCTTCTTTTACAGCCTTGTGGCGAAGGCGTCCCGTCAGCACGCTTTGACTGGCTGCCACCGTCGGTAAAACACCCTCGAGGCCGTCCCAGACCATCCGACCGCAACTGGCTCTGTCTCTGCTCACCCAAACGGAGCCGAGCCTAGTCTTGTGTAAAGCGAAACTGGTGGAGGGCAACACAACATGTGGAGGGGCGGGACCACGGTGCACTGCTTTTGGTCGCACTGAGAGCTTGTGTAGCTCTCGTCTTTGTGAGCCCGTCTTGGTGTGGCTGGGGAAATACCCCTAGCTTTCGCCTACGGAATATAGTGACAGCTTCTGGTTCCTGGGTTCACCAACCCTTCTCGATCGATGAGGCAGATTGAACAACGCTACACTACCCAATTGACACCCTGGCAATCAAAAAGGCTGGGCCCCCGTAGATCCGGCAGGAAGTTGGAGAATTGGATCAACGCCATCCGTCATCGAACCAAGGGATGGCCGATGGAGACAAGCAAGACAACCTTGAGCGAAAGAAGCTGCCAGCGGGAGAAGTCGTCCAAAGAGATTGCCACCGACGGCGCCGTGAGGTGACACTGGCGTCAGAACCTTCATCCCAAGAACTGTTTGCTGCGAACTACCCAAACTCCCAATTGTATCGCCTGCTCAGCCCGACCTGCATACAGGCACGGCACTCCGAGTCTGCAACTATGTAGGAGAGACCGGTGCCAGTCCTGCAATGGCTGCCAACCTGCCTCGCCTGCAAGCTGCACAGCAGCAGTTTGGTTCGACCGGGCATCTATCGACTGACTGGGACAGATAATTGGCATGCCCCAGCAGCCGCCTTGTGTGCGCCTGCCACTATCTATCAAA